CTAAAAAAATTTGTGTCAGTGCCTCACCAGCCATAAACCTCACCGCACGTCACTGGCTACAACCATTGTGTTTAAGTAGTAAATGATGATTAGACCAGGTGTATCCAAGCTTTTGGCTTGCCTGGGCAGCATTGAGTGAAGAGGAATTATCTTGGGCCATATACAAAATATGTAATATTTTATAATAAGTTAATATATATACAATACATAAGAAACTACCTTCATTTTAAAATATTTTTATTATGATCTTGTGGGGCCCCATTAATACCATTCCAGGGTTCTATGCGGCCCATAGGCCATGGTTTGGATATAACTGGTTTAAACTATTGGATTAATTCCATGTAAGATAGGTTCTTATGTTTAGATGAAGCCCGCTGTTACTCAGAGGTTTATGTGCACAAATTTCTGACTACAAACAGGCTATTAATGCTTCGTTGACCAAAATGTTATTAACAAATTTCAAGACATATTTGTAATAGGTGTTCATTGATTTACAATAAAGCCATGCAGATTCAAAGTTTAAAAGCCATAATAGTTAGGTAAGGTGGAAAAAGACTGATGTTTCCATATAAATGTTTCTCTAACAAAAATATTATAGAATGAAAGAGGTTGCACTCAAGAACCAAAGAATTCAACAATATTTTCATTGTGAAATTTGGTAGGGCATCAGAGAAAGGTGAATGTCTAGTTTTTACAAATAACATCAGTTATTTGGAAATTGATGTAGATCTTATTGAGAAGCAGTGCCTGATTTGTTTACAGATTACATAGAAGTATATCACAGAAGTGATATAAATATTTTGTAAATATTTAAGTGTACCTTTTCACATGACAACCAGTGGTGGGTTCAGGCCAGTATGGCCATACCTATATTAGCCAGGAGCAGCTGACAGCATACTGGTATGGTGGCTTGTTTGACCCACCCACCTACATTCTATACTGTTTTTTAAGCAACCAGCTAATTGCGCCTGCGCGCACAGCGTGCGGTGCCTGCGCAAGTCTGACAAGCAGCTAGGTGTCACAGGGGTGGTGGAGTGTGCATGCCTGTGCAGCGCATGTGCACGAAAGGACACGTGGCCCCGTGAGCACCGTACCAGTATCAATGGGGAGAAGAACTCACCACTGGTGACAACACTGAAGAAATGACACTTGGCTACAATGTAAAGTAGTGAGTAGCCAGCTTGTATAACAGTGTAGAGCAGGGGTGGGTTCCTCCCGGTTCGCACCGGTTCTTGCGAACCTGTTCGTCAGTGAACCCGGAAGTAATTAACT